CTGGCCTTTCAGTTTTTTCACTGGCTAAGTCTGCAGGAGGATACTGACTATTCGGTTGTACTTATGTATTTTGCATTAAATATTGAAATTCTGACTTCTTGCTCTGCCTCCAGCTTGTGGAGTTGTCCTAGCATCCTCCAGGAAAGGTTGGGGTATAATAAACAAGCTGTCTGTAGAGACAAACAGTTCTTCTCATTGGTGACAAGAATTTTGATAAGTGTTTTGACCCTTTGAAGTATTTGTGTGGTTTCCCTGAGGATTTGCTTTTCCTTTCAGTTGAAATTCAGCTGCTGCTTTATATATATTGGGGATGTGCTGTAATTTTTAAAAAATCTTTTCAATATTGTTGTGCCTCTGAATTTCAGTAATTTTAAAAAAGCAACCTTTGAATATTTATGTTTCCTCTATGGTTCCCTCTCTTGGTACACTCTGTACGTTTTAGAAGAGATACTGATCTCATACATTCTGTTCTTAGGTGCAGAAGGACCAACAGCGGTCTACTGGAAAAATACTGAGTTGAGTTAGCAGCAACCCGGGTCAGTCAGGCTCATTTCCTGAGAATGAATGACAGTAGAATTACAAACACTGGTTTTCAGGTTCTGTGGCACTCAGTGTTCAGAAACAAAATTTATAAAATAAATGAGAAATGTTATAAACCAGTGATGATCCTACTTTAATACGCTTCTCTGATCTAGATCCTCACTTCAAACTTCACTTACTTACATAATACTAATTATAATCAGTCCTAAAGCTCTATGAATATGTTACTGAAAATTTTTATGTGTTTTAAGCAGTATAAAAAGTATGATTTAAGACACAGCGATTTGAGATACATTAAAATAGTGCCTGTAAACTGAACTTATTTCAGTAGTGGTGTGGATCTTCAAAGAAGTTTGAGTAGTGTGTCCCCTTCCTTCCTTCCTGAAGTGTAGGAGTTCTGTTTCTGACTCTGGTGTTAGTATATGACTGACACTTAGTATAGGTTCTAGTCAGCATCAACACAGTAGAATTGAAAAATGCAGTGGCAAAGTAAATTACAAAAGGAAAGCAAGATAAAGGAATGCAGCTAATAGAAAGGGTATCATACCTAGCCCCCTTTGTTGTCACTCCATCTCTTTCTGAAAAATGCATTTGTCAGCTTACAAGACATTTAGGACATTAAACGATTTTGGAAGAATAACTGAGTGAAAATAAGATGCAAATAGTTTTCAGTGCTTTACGGATTTTGCTTTGATTGGGAGGAGTAATCTACACATAAGTTTGTGCATCTGAGAGTCATAAGCCACCTTTAGAAAAATCCCCCAAATACCCTGATCATTTTTTGGGTTCAGATTGCTGCTGTAATTTCTTGACCTGAGTAATGGGTGCCCTTGGAAGAAAAACTGTAGGAACTTGCAGTGTTACATAGGTTTGCTAAAACTTGGGACTAGAAACAAAACCTTTCACCAGAGCCTCAGGCTTGCATCCCAAGACTTCAGGAAGATAGTGCTTAACTTCATAACTGAAGAGTAACAAGATACCCAGCATTGATTTTATGGCCAAAGAGTAAATAGGTACTTCTTTAATTTTACTTTTTAAAATTCTGTTCTGTTTAAAAGTATACAGTATTTAGAATTATTTTTGAGGGGAAGAAGTGGTTGTGGAGTGGTGAATAAAGAGCACCCACTTCTTTTTTTTTTTTTTAAGCCAAGAGACTGTTAAACAAAAGTCCAAGTCTACTTTCCCAGTCAAAAATGTCTCGCATTCTGTATGTCGAAAGCTGTGTTGAGTATCTCCTGGGCTCTAGTAATGTCTCTTCAGGAGCTGGCTGTCTGCATAGTGCACACTGGACTATCATCTTAAAATAAGGATGGAGTTAAATGGAATCAGAAGCAATACTGTGGCTGTTCCAGTTAGTGTGAGGGAATATGGAAAACTCACCTGTTCCATTGCTCCCAAAGATTAAATGTATGCTATGAAGATTGATCAGAGGGCTGGAGCACCCCTCCTATGAAGACAGGCTGAGAGAGTTGGGGCTGTTCAACCTGGAGAAGAGAAGGCTCAGGGGAGACCTTACAGCAGCCTTCCAGTACTTAAAGGGTGCCTGCAAGAGAGCCTTGTAGAAAGAGACTTTTTACAAGGACATGTAGTGATAGGACAAAGGGAAATGTATTTAAACTGAAAGAGGATAGGTTTAGAGTAGATACTAAGAAGAAATTCTTTACTGTAAGTGTGGGGAGGCACTGGAACTGGTTACCCAGAGAAGCTGTGGATGCCCCATCCCTGGAAGTGTTCGAGGCCAGGTTAGATGTGGCTCTGAGCAACCTGGTCTACTGGGAGGTGTCCCTGCCCGTGGCAGAGGGTTTGGAAGTAGGTGATCTTTAAGGTGCCCTCCAACCCAAACCATTCTATGATATGAGAGAATACCAGACATCCATAGCAGAGGGTTGTATGAAAAATGGTTAAGGGACTGCAGTGCAATTCTTTGGTTCTACCACTTATAGAAATGAGCTTGTCAGTTTTGACAGAGCTCTCATTTGAGACTAAACCAACAGACAGCCTCATTATTTTTCAGATTTGCCAGAAATACATTCATGCCTTTTTTATTTCTAAGCAGCTGCCCTAACTGAAAAAAATGAAACTAAATTAAATAGTACAAAAATGCAACATAGATGTTTATTTCTACTTTTTTTTTCTTTGTATTAAGAGTAAAGAATGTGAATTTGTAATTTTCAAGCCATCTTAAAACAAGAAGCTTCCACTCATGGTAAAACACATTGCTGCATGCAGAAAAGCTCTTGACAGCCATGCTTGGAAATTTTTCTGATTAACAAAATGCACTACATCAAAATGTTCTGACAGGTTGTTTTGATATCAGCAGACATTGGGGTGAAGTGCAAGTAGGGACTGTTAACATTTTCTGTCACTTTTGGTTGATGCTTTGCTGTAGGAACAGCTCAATGTGTCCACTTTGAGATTTACTAAGGAACTTAATAGAAGAAACAAGAGGGCTTTTTCCAGATGTATCATAACACAGTAACTTTTCAAAACTCTAAAATATTTCAATTTTGGTTTTTTCCCCCTGGTGAGCTTTATTTACCAGTAGTATCTTATATCAGCTCTTACAATCTTGGTGTTTTGGAAACAAGCTAAAATGTTTTCCTCTAGAAGTCAGCAGTTAGAACCTGAGAACTTGGGTGTGTCCTGGATATGATGCCTGTTCTTGGGTGAATAACCAGTCTGTAGCTGTAAGTTCTTCAGACTATAGAGAAGAGATTTCCACATATGTTGTCTGCTGTACTCACCTTGATCCTATTTTCTGTCGTGTCTGATGGTTTTATGTTACCGTTCAGAAAAATTCTAAGCCACAGTAGATTGAAGTGCAGACAGCTTGTAAACCAGATGGGGTTTTCTCTTCACTTTCTCTTTTAATCCAATGTAAAAAGCACTCTAATCTTTGTAAGATAGCTCTTAAAATGAGATATTTAGGTCCCATAAAACTTGTTTTCTGTTTCGGTCACACAAATACCATATCAAAATTGCATTGTGTGAATCTTTGCAGTACCCTGATTTCATTGTGTCATTGATTTTTGTCTGCAGCTATGAAGATTAGAAACATTTTTATCCTTTGGATTTTTGAGCAATCATTTGCATTCTAGGACTTCAATGTGCCCCAGCCTCCTGTACCTTTATGGTCAGCCAGGGGAGCCTCATCTGATCTCTTTCCTTTGTGCTCTCCATTTGTAGCCTTTTCTCTGCTTTTAAAGTTTAATGAGTTCGTGTTATTTTGCATGTCTGGCAAAAATCTCAAAATAATGTGTTAATATAGCTAGTAGAGAAATTAATTTAATGGAGTCTTAATTTCCTTGTATTGGATAAACTTCAGCTATAGATGACCTTTTGAAAAAGAGATTTTAATATAACTGAGGACTTCCATCTTTATGAACTGAAGATGAGGTTTCTTGGGTTTTTTTGCTTTGTTTTGTGGGTTTTTTTCGTAATATGAGTCACATTTTAATGGAGAAGAATACCCTATTTTCATGGTTGTGCAACTGCTAATTGATGACTGTAGTGGCTGTTTATGTGTAAAAGTAAAATTAAAATTTTATTTATATATGTATATGTGTTTAATGCTGTTTACAACTTGCAAATAAGGAAGGCATTCCAGTATCTAGTAAGTGTATTTATATCTAACATTCATGCTAATAATATGCCACCTAGATACTCCAGAAAGTTGCCTAATTTTTCTCTAATTTCAGGGTTTTTTTCTGAATATTGCTGCTGGAAATTTCAAGGCGAAAAAGAAAACCATCCTTTTGTAATGAAACTTTAGTAGATTTTTGTCCCGAGTCTCAACCAGCATTAGTTTCTGGTGGGGATTTAGCAATAAATGTGCTTTTCTCTACTCTCAGCACAAATCCTGTGATTAACTTTGCTGTGAAGTATCTTTAGGTCTTAATGAAAACTGAAGTTACTCATCCTAGTAAGAGTGCCCAGAGAGACAATGCCTCCATATCCTACCCTATTAAATTCTCACGTATTAAGAAGGATATACTGTTTGCAGTACTTTTAACTTAAAGCCTATCCTGTATATATACATTATTTTAAATTAATAAACAATTGTACTGTGGAAATAGGAGTTAGAATTGGAGAGTGTTGTGCTAAATACAGGGGAAAACAGGTGAAGTATGAGAACATTTTCTCATAGTGTTTTTTAATGTCTTTAAATGTGATATCATGCAATGAAACAGTTACAGTGAGAAGTGTAATGGAGCTATTCATGAGCTAAAAGATTGGGTTGTTGCAAGAAGCCTAAGCAGAACTAGACTGAGGTAATTTAAGGCCCTTTGGTGAAGTCATGGAAGGCTGCTGAAGCATGGCTCCTTACATATATATTAAATACATTTTAAATTAATTGTCTTCTCATGATAACAGCATAGCTACTTCCTGTTTTATTTTATTAGCATTGCTTTATAGATGCTTTGTGGTTATTTTCTGTCTTTCTCTTCCCCCCATCTTAGCGGAATCGGTCGAAATTGGCCATGGGCCTCTGGCGGAAGCAGCATTTTGGCAGAATTTGGGACTTTGCATCTGGAGTTTGTGCATTTGAGCCACCTGTCTGGAAACCCTGTCTTTGCTGAAAAGGTTAGACTTCTCAGTCAAAATCATGTTGTAAAAATCACATGTTGGGAGACTAATATCAGTGGGGAGAGATTTGGATTTTCCTCAGTTGTAAGCATTTGTCGCATTTTCCCAAATCACATTGGCATGTTTTTGTATTAAAAAGTCAAAAATCCCTTCCAAAATTATTCCGATGCATATTCTTGTATATGGCCTCATAAAACACATAATTTCTGTTTATGTTCTAAATTACTATCACATTAAACAATCAGACTGTAGACCTTTCTTTAGTTCTTCAGCTGAATGAGGTGTAAACAAATAGTGACATTATATTGGGGATAATAATTGATGTCTAGAGAAAGCAAAGCACCATGGTGATTTCAACAAGTTTATTCTTCAAAATGCTGTATAATATCACTGCTGTCAGCAAGGTCATATAGCGCTTCCATTGCACTGACCTATAAGAAATACACTTTGAACTTTGTTTTGTCAAACAACTAATTCTTCCAAAATTTGACAACATTTTATCATACTTTTTATTTACATGAGCCATGGAAAGCAACTCCTCCTGCCCTTAATTCCCACATAAACAATTTTGCTTTGCTTTTGGGTGTATAAATAGCCAGCAAGTCCTGTTCTTTATAATACACTGATTCACTTATCTTCTTTTTTTTTTTTTTTGTAATTTAAACTTACACTTGTTTTGGTTTTGTATTCTTACTGCAGCTACCACATGTTAGCTAAAACTGATATTATCAATTTAATAATCTAGCTAATAACAAGACTCCAAATGTTTAGCAGTAGGTCTAAAAGCAGTGGTCAAATCTAAAATTATTACTGGATAAGGACTGAATGGCTTTGCTGCAATACTGTTGTTGGCATTGGAATAAATTTTGTGAAGCAAATTCCTAGAAATTTTCATGTATTTAGGGGTGAATTTAAAGACAATTTCTAATCTGCAGGGGATATATGGGAAGGGGGTGGCAGCACTGAGGAATAGCCAGAAACAAATTTACTACATAAGTTAATTATCTTTTTCACATTTGCGTAATTTAATGTAAAACATCTGTGCTACTAAGAGACAATGAAAGTATCTTAAGGATCTTAAAATCCTAGTCTATGGTTCTCTTACAGAGTGGCATCACGCTCTAGCTGCAGGATGCTGGAAATCTGTTTATGTAATCTATTCTTAAAACCCTTTAGAGATTGTGATTCCAAAGCCCTCCAAGGCAAACCATTCCAGCACTCGTACACTTGACAAAGAAGAGAAAATACTGGAATAAGCTTTGCATGGAAGTATTCATAGAAGAACTCATTAATTGAGGTCTAGGACACATTGCAACCTGCATTTGGGCAATGCATTTGGGCAGGAAGCAGTTTATATACCACAACAGAAATCCTTCTGTGTCTTGGTATAACCTAATTTATCTTCTTTTTCAGTAGCTAATTCAATGGATCTCTAGACATTCAGGGTGTTTTAATGAAGCTGTCAGTACCTTTTTGTTACGATTTCTGGCCTGCAGTGCTCAGGATCCTCATTCTCCCAAGTTGCTACATTTGCTTTTTCTGTGAATCTTAAAAGTATAACTCATTTCATGTGCTCTGAAATGGATTGTGCTGCTGGATGACTCCAGCTGCAGAGCATCTGGACTGCAATTGTTTCCCAGGGCATCTCATTTGTAGCAAGCTCCTTAACAGTGCCAGCAAACTGCTCAGGGCTGCCTGGGTTCCTGCTGGGCACGTTGTATGAAACTCAGTTCCAGCAGTGCTCTCCTTTCTAGACAAAACTGCTTTAGAGTTCACTTCCACATCTGAACTAGGTGATAGGCTTAATATTTAATACCATTTCTGATTTAGGTATATGAGGAATATAATGCTGTCATAGGTTAACTTAGTTAAGGCAAATATTCTCAGTGAATTTCAGTATCCTGTGGAGGAGTGAGATAGTTTGTATGGCAAGCCCCGAACTTTGGAGCTTGCTTCTGTTGTTGTGTTATTTCATTGTTGACACTCGCCACACAAACTCCAGAGGTTTTGAGGGGCTTGTTTGCACAATGATATCAGCTTTGAGAGTCCTTTTTAATAGTAATACAATTGCATTGAGGTATTTGGGTATATGGGATTTTTATTTTCAGGCATATTGTACTGACACCGTTTTATTTTATATGGGGGGAAAATGGGTCAGTGTTCAATGTTTTGTACCCTTCCAATAGGTAATGAATATTCGAAAAGTTCTAAATCGACTGGATAAACCAGAGGGACTTTACCCCAACTATCTGAATCCCAGCAGTGGCCAATGGGGCCAGCGTAAGTAGCTCAAGTCTGGTACTGTGACCTGTCTGTCAGTGTGCTGCCTGCAGTCATTAAATTCTTTCAGTCACTGTTACATGTTTTTTGTATATATATATGGAGAACTTTTATAAGGTATAGAAACTCACATTATATTTGAGATTCTATAAAATGTAAAAAATGCTACGAATATAAAACTAATAATTCTACTTGCTGTATTTTAATGTACATTTTTTGATCTTTCAATATGGTTTGTGGAGGCAGGGAAATGTCTGAATATGTATGATTTTGGAAAGGAATCGGTAAACTACCTAAGTCTCTTATTCAAAAATCTAAAGTGCTCTCTGAAGTAGCTGTTTAAGAAACATTATCAGCTCATCTGAATCAAATTCCGTATTTTTGGACCCAGTGGTGTGGGTCCACTGAAGAAAAAAAAGCAATAAGACAAGTCTTCCCAGTTAGTACCAGCTGTGATTTCTGTTGATACTTAATGCCAACAACTTGTTTGAGGAAGCAAACTAAACAGAACTGTGGCATGGCATTAATCCCCTTGGAACCGTTGCTGAAGATACCAAAATTAGAAGGCAAAGATGTACTTCACAAGAAGCAATGGATCCCCTACTCTCTCACCACCAGGCAGAGGGAGCGAACCTTAGAGATGGAGGGGAGTGGAAACAAGTTTCTGCTCAAGGTGGCAGGCAAATCTCCTCTCCTGACATACCTCACTTCCCCAGGTGCCCTCATACAATAGCTATGAGGCCCTGAAATCTGAGGACCAGGGAAATAAGAATGTGGACGAAGGCCCATCTGGGTTGGAGGGGTCACCTAGGGCAGGGCAGCTTACCACTGCATCATGACGTCCTCAATTAAGAAAAAAAAAAAAAGTAGTAGTCATTGGTGACTCCCTTTTGAAAAAATTGGAAAGCCCAATATGCTGACTGAACGCAAGCTATAGAGAGATGTGTTGCCTCCTTGGGGCCCAGGTAAGGGACATCACCAAGAAACTTTCCAACCTGGTGTGGCCCACTGATTATTACCTGCTACTGGTTTTCCAGGTAGGCAGTGGCAAAGTTCCCAGCAAGAAGGCTGCGGACAATCAAGAAAGGACCTCAGGGCCTTGGAACAACTGATCAAGGGATCTGGAGCACAAGTTATATTCTCTTCTGTCCTACCAGATGCAGGGAATGCATGGGGCAAGAAACAGAAAAATCATGCAGATGAATACCCGGCTTTGAGACTGGTGTTACCAGTTGAATTTTGGGGGTTTTGATCATGGATCATATGACACCAAGCCTTCTGGTAACAAATGGGACCCACTTGTCTCAAAGGGGGAAAAGGATCCTAGCTCAGGAGTTACCAGGGCTTGTTGAGAGATCTTTAAACTGATTTGAAGGGGGAAGGGGAATAGCCAGGCTCAAGAAAGATAAAGTGTGGGAAGGGAAGAACTATAGCAACCACCCAAGTAGCAAAACGAGGTTTAAGAGGGGATACCTCCAGCAAGCACAAGCAGCCAAAGGTGTCACCATAAGACAGGACTATGGGAATCCCTTTGCACCCCTATTGGGATATTGATACAATCAAATACTTACTGTAAAGTGCCTGCACACCAGTGCATGCAGTATAGGGAACAGGAGGAACTGGAGATCTGTGTGCTGTCATAGGACTTTGACCTCACTATGATTACAGAGACATAGTGGGATAGTGTGCATGACTGGAATGCTGTTGTGAAGGGCTACACACTGTTTAGGAAAGACAGATCAGGAAGGCATGGTAGTGGAGTTGCCCTCTATGTGAGGCAACACTTGGAACGTACCAAGCTCTGTTCTGGGGTGGATGACAAGTGAGTCAAGAGCTTAGGATTAGGATAAAAGGGCAGACAAGTAAGGATGACACTGTTGTGGATGTTTGCTAATGTGACCTGATCAGGAGGAGGAAGTGGGTGAGCCTTTCTAGAGGCACCTTGAAGCACCTTCAACATCACAGGCACTGGTTCTTTGAGGGGGCTTTTAACCACTCTGACATCTGCTGGAGAAGCAACACAGCAAAGCACAAACAGTCCAGGAGGTTCCTGAAGAGCACTGATGACAACTTCCTGACACAGATAGTGGAGGATCCGACAAGGAATGGTGTGCTGAGTGACCTCATACTGAGAAATAGGGAAGGCTTTGTTAGAGATGTGAAGGTTGGGGGCAGCCTTGGCTGTAGTGACCATGAGACTGTGGAGTTCAGTATCGGGCGAGGAGAAAACAGGAGGGCAGCAAGTAAGATTGTAACCATGGATTTCAGAACTGACTTTGGCCTCTTTAGGGATCTTCTTTGAAAAATTCCATGGGAACAGGTCCTTCAAGGAAGAGAGGTCCAAGAGACCTGGTTGGTATTCAAGGATCACTTCCTCGAGGTTCTAGAATGATGTATCCTGATGAGCAAGAAATTGGGCAAAGGGGGCAAGACACTTGCATGGATGAAAAAGGAACTCCTGTCATTGCTCAAGCATAAGCAGGAAATACACAGGAGATGGAAGCAGGGTCAGGCCACTTGGAATGAATATAGGGAGTTGTCAGAGTAAATAAAAACGAGATGAGGAAGGCCACACCTAGGCAAACTTTACAGCCACAAGTCCATAGGCCCTGATGGGATGCATCCATGAGTGCTGAGAGAGCTGGCAGACACCATAGTGAAGCCACTCAAGATCATCTTGGAAAGGCTATGGAGTTCAGGAGATGTACCTGAGCACTGGAAGAAACTCTTCAAAAAGGGCAAGAAGGAGGTTTCAGGGAACTACTAGCCAGTCAGCCTCACCTCAGCCACTGGAAAGGTGATGGAACAGCTCATTTTGGAGGCCATCACTACCCAAGAAAGTGGGACAGGAGTAATCAGCATGGATTCAGTAAAGGTAAATCATGCTTGACCAACCTGATTGCCTTCTGCAATGAAACAACTACCTGGATAGATGAGGGGAGAGCAGTGGATACTGTCTACTTGGAATTCAGCAAGGCTTTTGACACTGTCTCTCACAGCATCCTCATACACAAACTCAGGAAGTGTGGACTGGATGAGTGGACAGTGAGGTGGATTGAGAACTGGATGAAAAACAGATCCCAGAGGGTTATAATCAGTGGCACGGGCCTAGGTGGAGGCCTGTCACTAGTGGTGTCCCCCAGGGTTCACTATTGGGCCTAGTATTTTTTAACTTACTCATCGATGAATGACTTGGATGAAGGGGTAAATGCCTCCTCAGGAAGTTTGCTGACAACGCAAAGCTGGGAGGAGCGTCCCATCCCTTCAGAAGGACCTCAGCAGTTTGCAGAGAAGGGCAGAGAACTGCACCTGTGAGCCAGATCCAGTTAACTCCTTCCTTGGCTTCTGTCAGCTTTTTGGTGAGCCGCATGAGAGCAGATCTTTCTAGTGGCCGAGGCAGCTAGTGGCTCTGCCTTATACACTTACTCTGCCTTACGATCTTTGCCATTTCCATATTTTTAATATAATTGCATCTTATACACTCCTCATTCACATGAATGTTGATGTGCACAGGAAAATTTATAGCTTGTACTAGCTTTGCTTTCCAATAGTATGTAGTATTGACATACTTCCTGTGCATGCAAATGATGAACACAGATGTTGATGCAGGTCTATCCACAGCATGCTGAAGCAGCAAAACCAAATTCCATCTTGTTACATCTCTTCCATATCGGTTACCTTCATTCGCAGACGTTGACTGACTAATTTTTTCCCATAGAGAAGATCAGTATGTGAGACTCGAAAGTTGTTTTATTTGAGATTGCTTTTCTAGGCTGTTTTCAGTTGATTACAACAGAAGGAGGAGAAAGGTCACTTGGGGCCCCTGGT